CCTCGACTCCCTAGCGCGCGCCGCCGCCGCCGCCGCCGCCGCCGCCCTGTTGCTTCCGCCTCCCTGCCGGGCGGGAGGGCGCTGTCATCGCCCTCCTGTGGATCGCCGGGTGCGGGTTCCCCATCTCCCTGGGCTCACTCCTGTTCTGGAAAGGAAGCCTGGCCGTGAGCCCGGGGCCCCGATGGCGGGTGCGGTGGGCCTGAGCCCCTGAGCCTGTGGGTCACGCCTCCCGCCGTGGCGTGGACAGAAGGCGCAGGATCCTCAGGTGGCTGCAGGGTGCAGACACCACCACCCCTTTTAGGACTTCCTCCCTTGGAGACCCAACCACACATGTCCTGATCCGCCTCTTAGGACTACTTCTGCCAGCTGCTGGGGCCCTGTCTCGGGTCCTCCATCCAGACCCAGGCCTCTGGGTTTTGCCTGGTGATCCAGTCCCCAGTCAAGTGCTTCCTGCTACTGGCTTTCAGCTAAATACCACCTCTAGCACCCCCAGTTCCAGGTGTGAAGCCTGCACAACGTTCCTTACCTCCGGGTCCCCCTTACCTAGCTGATGTTTACTGGTTCCACATCCCTTGCTTTTGCTTCCGATAACCGTACAACCCGATGTGGACTAAGGATCTGCAGTGGCCACTCAGGAGCACCAGATCGGCGGGGCTTAGAAACGTATTTAAGACCATTCTGAAAGGGTGTGGGGGAGATCTGGTACTGCTACAGTTCCGGTTAGACACAGATGACCGCGGATGAGTTCCAGTGACTAAGCAGAAAGGCCCCCTGAGCCACCAGCTCGCTGTTTCCCGTTTTCCACCCCATCTCCCCACGGCCCTCTACCCTGCTCTTCACCTGGGTTCCACACCAGTGTCTCACCACGCAGCACCCGCTGCAGACACTGAGCCACTCTGGGTGAACGTGTTTCCCTCCAGCCTTCCTGGACTTGCCATGAGCCTGATGGTGTTGGAAGGCAGCTGACACTGGTAGCTAGGTGTGGACTCTTGAGGACGGCAGGCCCCTGTGCCTGGGGACTAATGGCTGGCCCTGCACCTGGTGGTTCTGTGGCCATGACTGCATGCTCATGTGTCCCTGGTGATACCATCTAATTTCTACCATGACCTGGTACTGCTAGGATCAACTGTAGACTTCTGGTGGCATACACTTGGAATGGGTGAGCCTGGCACAGACCGGTCTCAGGATGAAGACTTCCTATCTTTAGAGAATGTCTGTTCTACGCAGAGACGTGTGTTCATTTTCTCTTCTTTTCTTTTTTCTTATTTTCGCATTTGGATTTTTGAGGCAGAATCTTTATCCTAGGCTGGCCTCAAACTCTATGCCGTCTTCCTGCCTCTTAAGTGTTAGGTGTGCAGGAGTGGGCCCCCATGCCCAGATTACTCTTCATACTGAGGAAAGCATGTCCCTAGAGGTACATCAGGAGTGACTTCATCCTTGTCCTCTAAGCCTTCACCCTTTGTGGGGCTCAGGCTACTGTCTGGGTCCTCCCAGCTAACACCATCCTATCAAGGGGCTGGCTTATTCTAAATGAGAAAACTAACGAACACCGGAAGGAACTTGGTGGGAGGATGCTTGGTGAAGATGTTTTAATAGCGCTGGCCCAGGACCACTCTTAAGAAAACATGCTCCCCTTTTGAGAATGGAAGCTGTTGTCTGGGGGCAATGCCCAGTGCTTTGCAGCCTCCTTACAGGCATCAGAGGATCCGAGGTGGTAGCCTGAGGAACGTATTCATGCTGGGCACAGAAGCATGAGAACGTGAGCTCATCAGGGAATACTAGAGATCCATTAACCCGTCCTAACCAGAAACTTACTAACCTAAGAGTCCATGCGGATATGTTTAAACCAGGTAAGCTGGGTTTTCCATTATCAACAGATGTCAGCGCTTTTAACCTATAAAAAACAAATCAGTTAGGATGCTGTTAACATAGCAGAAACTCCAACTTCTTCTTTGAACCTGTTAGTCATTGCTGTGTAAGAAGCTGCTACCCATGCAGGAGGTGTTTAAGCAGCAGGCAGCCAGCACCGGCCGGGGCTCCCGGGCGTGGCAGGTTGTTCCACCCTCCCCGGTATTGGCTGGGAATCTCCAAGCTACCACATTCTTCTGGAGGCTTTGCCAAGGTAGGATTGTCCCCATGTGACTCGAGTCACATGCACAAGTGTCCCTAGGTAGAGAACTGGGAGCCTGAGGGGTGGGGTTGTTCCTCTTCTCAAAAGGCTTCTTACGACTCAGTGGTCTAGCCTGGACTTCTTCACACAGTGGTTGGGTCTCTCAAGAGCCAAAATGGACACTACAGAGCCCCAAAAGGCTGCGTTTGGAGTCCCCAGAGCGTTCCCTCTGCCACACTCTTCTGGAAAGAAGAAAGTGAGCTCCTGTGCCTTCTGCCTCCCTCCATAGGAACACCAGTAAGCCATATGTCCAAGAGAGCCTCCAGGTCACACAGGTGCTGCCCCAAGACAGCAGGCCACGTCCACCAGGAGGACATCTTACTTCTTGTGCCTCCCACAATCCCTTCCAGCTCCCTGACCTTTTTTTTTTTTTTTTTTTTTTTTTTAATTCTTTTTTTTTTTTTTTTTTTTCCTGGAATCTTCTTCTGCAGGATAAGATCTCATTTCATGATCCTTTTTTGGTAAAGCCTGCCCCTCCCCTCCACCTTCTTAGTTCCCTTTAGATCGGGGTAATGGCTTCCTCCCTTAGTACTTTAGTGGCACCAGTGAGTGCGGTGTGCTTCTTCGCTCAAAGCAGCTCATCTAACCCTCATAGACGATGATCGCTCACTCCGGGAAGTTTGTCTGTTTGTTTTTACAGCGCTCGCCCAGGGCTACTCTGTCGCAGGCATTTTGCCCCAGTGCTTTTTAAAGCTAGCTGAGCTCTGAGCAGGTGAGAAAGACTGCTGGGCCTGGCTATGGCCATCGATCTTTCACTCTCTGGCACAGCTAGGGACCTTGTAGGTACAGGTGCTTGACAAATTGTGGAAAGATTAAATTACACATAGACTGCCATTTCGGCCACTGGGCGTCAGCAGGAAGAACAAAGGGAGGTGGTGACGCATTGCCAAAGAAAAGAAAAGCCATGGTCCATGGCAGTTCATCCGGGACAGACTCCTGGGACTGTGTAACAGCCCTACAGAGTGAGGTCCCAGACGCAGAATGTCCTTGAGATCGCGCTAGCAGCCAGGTTCCGCAACACTTCCCTGGAACGTATCTAGGAGGTGTTCATGGGGCAATACCAGAGTTTATTCATTTATTCTGAGACGCTTTCACCACGGAGTGTGCGATGTGTTGGTTAGAGTTACCATAGCTATGATTAAACACACCGGCCAAAGCAGCTTGGGGAGGAAAGGATTATTTCTCTGAGAACTCTCTGGTCACGCTCCTCCACAGAGGGCCATCAGGGCAGGAACCCATCACAGAAGGGAGTCAGGACAGGAACCTGCAGGCAGGACCTGAAGCAGAGGCCATGGGGAAACACTGCTTACTGGCTTGCCCTTCATGCCTGGCTTTCTTGTACCACACAGTATGGCCTACCCAGAGGTGGCCCTGCCCTGATGGGCTGGAGGTGGGCCCTCCCACATCAACCATCTATCAAGAAAATGCCGCACAGACAGACCTACAGGCCATTTTCTCAACCGAGATTCCCTCTTCCCAGGTACTTCCAGGTGTCTGTCAAACTGACAAAAAACAACTAACACATTCAGGCTAGCCCTAAATTCATGCTCCACCTGCCCCAGCCTCCCAAGTGCTGGGATTAAAAGTGTGCACCATAACTGGGCATACATTTTATAAAATGAAGAAAGTCATAAATCCAGGCAAGTTTAAAACACACTGGTGGGTACAGCAAGATGGGGAGCTTTTCTACGGGCCTCAGATGATATTTGATGACATTCCTTAGCTTTGGGGTTGGTGGAAGCTAGCGGTCTGCTAAGTCAATGGATTCCGAAA